GATTAACTCAACAATAATGATGGAACCATTCTCTTCTTGAGGTCATGTGATATGTTGCTCCTGAATCAATGAGCCATATATATGCAAATCTCTTTCTACCTTCCACGGTGGTTGACGCTCCACAACATAGAGCATCTTCATCATCTGAAGTGTTTGTGGTATTGCCTTGTGGTATTGCTGCTTCGACCACGTTCTGTTGATCTCACCCTCATCATTGTCAACGTTTCTGCTTGTTGCATATTTACTTGTCTGTCTTCCTTGCTATTGCATCGATTTTCTTCTTGTAGAACAGCAGTTGCAACGTCATCGAAGACTATACTGGTGACATTACTGTTTTTCAAGTTGATGATGAGTTGATCATACGAATCAGATAGACTTTGAAGTAAAAGTTCAACACTTTCTTGTTCTCCTATTGTACATATTAAGGATGTAAGCTGGGAAAATAAAGTGTTAAGTGTGTTTAAGTGCTCCGTTACTGAATTAGATTCTGTTATACGGAGAGTGTACAATTTTCTCTTAAGTAAAATTTTATTGTGCAACGATGTGGCCTCGTAAAGTTTGGTGAGATGATCTCATATCTCCTTAGTTGTCTTCTTCTCCTCGATGCTTGACAATACTTCATCTGCTAATGCTAGATGAAAGTTTGCCATAGCATTTTCGTCTATTTCGATCTATTTGTTGACATCTGTGAAATCTACCGGCCTTTCATTGATAGCTGCTAGACAACCGTCTTTCCTCAGGATGACCTTCATTTTCAATCTTCACAATGAGAAATTTCTCCCATTAAACTTTTCAATATCAAATTTCGTTGTCATAGCTTCTATTACAAATAGCTATCACTATTTCACTATCGTGAATAGTTATATGGAACCTTCAAAGAATGGGTAATAACTTCTTATTTTCTTATGTTGGAGGATCCACCTTTTGGTGGCAATCACAAAAACAATAAGTATATATTACACACTCAAATCTAGTTCTAATACCAATTGTTGCGGAATACGGCTATCGGATAGAGAAAAATCGCAACTGATAATTTGAGAAAATAAAAATGAGGATAAAGAAGACACAAATTTTACGTGGAAAACCCCTAAATAATATAGGGTAAATACCACGGGCAACGATAGAAGAATTTCACTATGAAAAAATAGGAATTACAACTTCTCTCAATTTAACAAGGAGAAAACAATAACAATTCTCTCTTGATAAAAATGAGAAAATAACTCTCAAGAAAACTCTCTAAATTCTCTAGTATTGGGAGAAAACTAGAATGATCTGAGATAATTTTGAAACTAAATGTATTAGAGTATTTATAGTTAAAACTTAAGGATTAGTCTTATAAATACCTTAAAATACAGAGACTAAATTTGATAATTTTCCATTACCATATTTTCAACAAAACTTGCACGAAATTGACTTCACCATTTGGTGCCCTTTTTTTTTAACTAATTCTATTCGGTGTATTGCAACGAATGAAGACTTTCAACAAGGATTTGATTATTTATTTTACGAAATAGTAGGTTAGAATAATTTGAAGATGAAAAAATAAAATTTGAGATGGAATCAGATAATTGTACACAGTCTGGATACATAATATGATAAGCGATAGGTGGAAGATGAAAAGCGTCCTCCGACGAACCTAAGAAAATGAAATTACGAAATTGGTAAAAGGAGCCCGAGCCCGAGCCCATGCCGTTATCTTCATCCTATCCTACGTACGAGTGCGTCGTACACCTACAAGGTAACATGGCCAGGCCACGCTCCATCCTACCTTGCATCAACAAAAGCTATAATCAATTAAATATACCAACATAGTACGTTGAAAGGAGACAAGGAGGAGGAGGAGCACCACTGACGGCGGCTCCACGAAGACACCTGTTCCATACTCACCACGCTTTCTATTCAAAGCCACACACATTAACCCAAAATAGAAGACCATAAAAAAAGCAAATATAATAATATAATATATACCTCCAAACAACAGTAAACCAGGAACACAAAATTTCGTTTTCTCGTTAATTTTCCCCCAAAACACACCAGAGAAATATCAGGGTTGTCTGAGATCCGATCATTCTGCCGGGATGTCTTGTTCCTCGTCATCGGGCTCTGAGGAAGAAGACGAGGGAGTCGACTCTTACCGGAAAGGAGGGTACCATGCCGTGCGGATCGGCGATCCTTTCGCTTCCGGTCGTTACATCGCCCAGAGGAAACTCGGATGGGGCCAGTTCTCAACTGTTTGGCTCGCTTACGATACTCAGGCCTCTGTATGTCCCTCTATTCTCCCGTTTCTATATCTTTCTTTTATGTAGGCGTTATTACCCGTTTCATTTCTTATTCCCGTTTTCTTGGGATCGGCGATCGATATTTAATAATAATAATTTTACTACAAGTATATATGATCAGATGAAACCTGATCTGGAATCTGAAATAGTGTTTTTTTTATGTTTGAGTTGGGAAAATCTTTGCTCTCGTAATCATGTGCTGCCTCTTGATGAATGATGTTGGGTCTTGGAAGATTTATTTTGTTAGTGGCTGTAATCTAAACCGTTTTCTGTTTTAAACCCAGAAATATGTTGCTCTAAAGATTCAGAAGAGCGCACAACAGTTTGCACAAGCTGCCGTTCATGAGATTGAAGTTCTCTGTGCTATTGCTGATGGAGATCCTTCAAACTCCAAGTGGGTGGTGCGCCTGATTGACCATTTTAAGCACTCTGGCCCGAACGGGCACCATCTATGCATGGTGCTTGAATTCCTTGGTGATAACTTACTTCAATTAATCAAGTTTAGCCGTTACAAAGGACTTGAGTTGAATAAAGTTAGGGAGATCTGCAAATGTGTTCTATTAGCTCTGGATTACTTGCATAGGGAGCTTGGTATAATCCACACTGACCTAAAACCTGAAAATATTCTTCTCTGCTCCACCATTGATCCAGCCAAGGATCCAATTAGATCTGGTCTTACTCCAATCCTTGAAAGGCCTGAGGGGGGCACCCTAAATGGCGGGTCTACCATGATTGAGAAAAAGTTGAAACGGAGGGCAAAACGGGCAGTTGCAAATATATCCGGTAGAAGAGATTCAATGGGAGGAGAAGCTCGAAAACCTGCAAGATGTCTTGATGGGATTGATATGAGGTGCAAGGTTGTGGACTTTGGAAACGCATGTTGGGCTGACAAACGTTTTGCAGAAGAAATTCAAACAAGGCAGTATAGAGCTCCTGAGGTCATACTTCAATCTGGGTATTCCTTTTCCGTTGATATGTGGTCATTTGCTTGCATCGCCTTTGAGCTTGCTACTGGTGACATGATGTTTGCTCCTAAAACTGGAGAAGGATTTAGTGAAGATGAGGTACGACTATACAATGCATCACGGTTTTGGAATCGTCTTTCCTTGTCCTAGTTTTGCAGGGTCTGTGCTTGAAAATAGGAATAGAGAGTAACACAATTATGAAAATGTGTTCAAATTTAATGACACGATGCTTGGTTAGGATCATCATAGTTCTTCACGTATTCTACTTGCATTGCAGCTGTTAATCTGTTATAGTAATGCTTTTGTCCTCCCTATCCTCTTATCCTGCCAGTACAGTATTTCATTTCTTCTGGTTGTCATACCAGAAAAGAGCTATAAACAAGAACTGTTCTGAGTAGAACGCAGGCCTGCATCATAACAATTATGTTTTTTATTGAAGTCAAACCAAATTAGATTTTCATATATATCATGAAGTGTCCTGGTTCTACTCTAACAGAGTTATAGATTTAGTTATCGTCTTTGATTAGCATATTATTATGAATATATATGTCTACTATTTCATTATCTTTATCTTTATCATCATCATCATCATTTTTTGTTTGTTTGTTTGTTTGTGGGTTTTTATAGTCATAATGACCGTTTAGATAGAAAAGTGATAAAGGACCACTGGGAATAACATTTTCGGTTGCTTCCAGGATCACCTAGCTCTCATGATGGAACTTCTTGGAAAGATGCCACGGAAGGTGAAATGATTTCTATACTAATGCCCTTTCCCATTTAGAAAATGTGATACAAATGTTAATTTATGCTTGCGCAAACAGATTGCCATTGGAGGAGCTCGATCAAAGGATTTTTTCGACAGGCATGGGGATCTGAAGAGGATTCGAAGACTGAAGTACTTGCCACTTGATCGATTGTTGGTGACTAAATACAAATTCGCCGAGACTGATGCTCGTGAATTTCTGGGGTTTCTTTCCCCTTGTCTTGATATTTCACCGGAGAAGCGACCAACTGCCCAGCAGTGTCTGCTACACCCATGGCTGAATCTGAAGAGCTCAGATGGTCAATCTAAGGTGGACGATGGAATGAGCAAACTTAAGATCTAAGGTGGGCAAGAGAAGAAGGGATTAAAGATCCCTCCCTCCACCTGTACGACTATTGATTGTGTTGTTTTATTTTTTGGGTTGTGACAATAACAATAAGCTTCTTTTTTTGGTTAACAAAAGTAATAACTGTTGTGAGGAAATGACGTGTGTTTAACTTCGTTACTGAGCGTGTTATGTTCAAATTGTTACTTTTAATACAAGTTACATATTAGGATATTTTCTTACAAGCTATTCTGCTGAAAGTTTTGAACTCACATCTGTAAGCCTTTAAAGTGTTGAATGAATCCTTTATTTCTTCATGCGTGCTTTGCCATTCTCCTTGTAGTAGAAAGCGGTGCTTATAAGGTTTTTCCAACATGCTGGTTTCAGCTTTATTTCCATAATTCGAACTTCACCGATATCCTTCATTAGGTTATGAAATGTTTCGGACATTCTAAAATTTTAATAAAATTCTAGGGGATTAAAATAAATTATCAATAGAAAATAAAAAAAAATGTAAAATACATGCTAATTTCTGAAATTTTTAGAAATACGATTGTCTCCAAGCGGCCCAGCCACCCCCTTGATCCATCATGAAGATAACGAATTTCATACAGCCATTTTATAGAACAAAAGGGAACAACCATAAAAGAAAATGGATGAGCTGAGAAGAAGAAAAAATGAATCAACTGCTGAAATAACAATACTATGGCATTCAAGTTTTAGTACATGTAGCATCATCCAGGGAAGCAGGATGAATACGCAAAAATGAAAAAGAAGAAAAGAAAGGAGTCATCTACATTTATTGCATTCCTCTGTGTCTCAAATCCAAATACTGCTATCATTCTATGTAGCAAGCTTTATCAGTAAAGTGTGGAGGCAAGCAATTGAACATTCAAATATACATTGTCAATTCAACTTCCTTACAAAAACAGTAACAAGCAAAGAGATAAATGGGGTAAAGTCGTTCCTAATTTCCTATAAAAAGAGAATTTCGAATCCTACCTCAGCTACTACCTTCAATCAATGAAGCCACCTGTTACAAGAACAGGGTTTGAACATTATGATTGCATGACTTTGTTTTGTTTGATACATGCAGTGGCCTTGAAATCCTGGCATTTCCGCATAGATGCACCTTCAATTGAAGTAACACCACCATCAGAGGGATCCAAAGTAAAAAAGTTCTTAACAGCAGCAGTTGAATTATCCATGTTCTTTTCGGTCAATGGAGAGCTCTTATTAATCATCTCTTCCTTTGGATTCACTCGATCCCTAAAGGAACAAATGCTCAGGGGCAACCTCCTTGGCTTCATTCTTCCCCTTTTCTTACCAGGGGTAACGTCCTCAGAGGCTTTTCCCTTCGAATGCCTTGATTCTTCTTCACCATTATTCAGTTCTGATTGCACAGATTTTTCATATTTAGAACCCTTTGCCTCTGCTTTAACAGATTCCTCCATGGAGCGCTCGGAATCAATTTTGCCTGCCATAGTACCTCCATAGCATGTAGAAGACAGGCTTCCACCCAACCGTATGCCCCCATTGGAAGCTATTGTTTTCTCATGAGTTGGCATGACCTTCGGCCTCTTATGTCTATGGCCTCTCCATTCAGTTGAATAACTCTCTGAGATTCTCGGGGAACTGTTGATATCTCGGTGCAATTTCCGGGCTAATTCTTCATCTGTCCTAGGACTCCCAATTGGTCCATTTTTTTTATACAAGAGTTGAACAGGGACATGTTTCTTGAGCTTATTCCTTTTTAGGTGTCTGTCCGTGTGAACTGTTTCTTCAGAAAATTTTGCTACAATGTCCAATGCACTCTTAGCTGCTGCAACAGCTTTAGCGGCGATTGCAGCCTTCTCCTCTGCAGCAGCTCTGGCAGCCTCTGCAGCTTTAGCAGCTGAGATAGCTGCTGCTCTCGAGGCCTCCAAAATCTCCTCAGGAGAAAGATTTGGGTTGTACAAATGGGAACTCAGCAATAGATTCTTAAGATAGGCATTAACATCACTTGACGAAGTAGAAGGTGAAGGTGAGTGTGAGGGTGAAGCTGGAGGCGATGACGAGGAAGAAGCAATGGTGGGCTTATCTGAAGCACTGCTGGCATTGGAAGCCTGTTTCTTAAATCCCGCCAGCAGCCGCTTCCGAGGAGGCAGAAGGGCATCGGCATCCAAGTGATTGATGTCACAAATGTTATCCTCCATTGACATCCCTTCCCCAATTTATTAAAATCTGAAACATCAAAGGGGTAATTGTCTATATAGATAAAAAGTTTTGATCACATCCACGCTAGAACATCAATACTCATAGATTCCAGATGTTAAATGCTAAACAAAACCCAGAACAAAATCTTACTTCTCAGCAGTCATAATAATAATAACAATAAATAGTAAATATCAATCAAATTTAGAAAGAAAAACGCACAGATTTGGAAAGTAGCATAAATTCAAGCGGTTCTAACACATAAATCAGAATTGAAAGAGCCTTCACGTGCTATAAATGACACAAAGAAGGAAAATTTGAAAACCCTACCGGCAAATTCGGTTATATAAGAGCTTCCGATTAAAATCAAAAGAACAACAAAGACAGGAAGTCAACAAAAAGATCATTATGCAATGAAAAATGAATTGTCAAGTTTAAAGATCACACGGGAAACAGATGGTACGAATGAGAGCACGAAAATTCAAACGTAAAAAAATAGGGCGATCGATAACAGAAAAAAGAGAGGACTACAGGAACGTGAAGCCAGAATGCAACGCAGAAGCTTAGATTGAATGGAATTATGGAATGCAAATGACAACAGAGTGAATTCCAAAAGAAGAAAAGGATGGATTTTGGATTCAATACCTGATCATTTACGCCTGGGGTTTGGATTGGATTGCAGAAAGATGATTTAAGAGATTTGAGAGGAAGGAAATTAGGGTTTTTGTTGTTGGTTGATATTTATTTTATATTAAATTAATATATATGGGTATGCATACATTGGTGTTAGTTTTGAAGAAGAGGGTCCAAGGAAGAGTGAAAACGAAGATCTTGTGTCGTCTTACTAATTACTATGCTAATGTATTTATGGTTTATTCTTTTTCTAGTCCCTATACTCTATAACTTTTAAAATTTAATCCCTGGAATTTAGTCTACAACTATTTTTGATTTAATAATTGAATTTCAATTAATAGCATTGATAAAATATTTCACTTGTGATATTTCTAACATAAAAAGATTATATGATCACTATTAAACAGGTGGAAGATTTAGTAAGTAAAAAAGCATTGTATCTAAGGTGATATGCTGATCTGTTCCCAACAACAAAGAACAAATGCAAGATATCTGATATGCTGATTCGGACATAAATAATAACATCAACATGCAGACTCACATAAATGCTGTTGAAATTTTTGGCATTATGATTAACTCTAGTTATTGTTCTCTTTTGCAGCATGCTGCAGATGAAAGAATAAAACTAGAAGAACTTTGTCACAAGGTAAAAGTATTCTGAAGTTCAAATTTGTGGAAGTTGGGATTTTCGCTACTAATTTGATGTCAAAAACGAGGTCTTATCCGGTGAAGGGAAGGGAAGCTGGTCACCTATTTGGATACAGAGAAAGAGATGGTATGCCTAGTTTGATGTTATGAAGCTGGTGCTGTGTGATTTCTAGGTTTAACTTATTAGTTGTTAAATAACAGATCCTGCCAGAGATGGGGCATCGGTTACTGCACAATTTGTTAAAAGATGTATGTCTGACTCTGTTGGGAAAGTCGTTAAAATTATCCGTTTTTATCATATTTTGAAGGAAAAGTTGGATACTCATCCCTGCAAATACTTTCCATGTCCTTGTTTGCTTATCATGCAAATTCAAGTTTGCCTTTTGTGCTCAGTTGAACTTCTATGTCAATGAAGTTTTATGTGGATAACATGCAGATACCCTTGCATTTTTAGGTGTCAAATGTTGATCTCTTGGAATTTCTTCACCAGGTAATACATGGTTTGTTTCTTTTTAGAACATTTACATCCTACTTCTGCTTTCCCTTTCACTTGGTAAAGGTATTTAATTTCTAACCCTTAGTTTGTATTTATGATATGTTGCTAGCTAGAAGCCATTGGGTGAACTCAATGGTATGAAAGAATGTTGTTCTCCTTAGAAGTATTGAATTGCAGTTGTGTCTACAAGGTATATGCACGTTGTAATCACCCTAGACTATTCAAAAATATATAAATTGCTAGCTGACACAGATGGATCATCAACAATGCATCCTGCTACGATCCTTAGCTTTTCTCTTTTTTTCCCTTTGATGTATTCTAAACTCATAGGGTTATTGTAAATAGTAATCAACTGAATATTATTCTATTTATCTTTACAGCAAATAGCACAAAAAGAAATATTGCAGCCATTATACTATATTTGTAATTCTTCTACGAGCATTGTTCTTGGGTGTTTGCTTTAAGGATTAAAATGCTGGCCTCTCGCTCAATCTCTCTCATCCCAAAGTGCAATTAGAATCATATCCGTTGCTACTTTGATGTGGCAGGTTCTAATCGTTTTCTCGGTGCCTTGTGAAGAAGGCATAAGATCTTAAGGTTCAGGACTCTTGTTTAACCTGAGCATACAATCATGCCATACTGAAAAATTAAACCGACCATTTTTCCATCCATGTATACATGTATCGGCCTCAACGGCAGAATGTTATTCTCTCACTCTGAAAGAAGTGAACACGGTTATCATTCCTGGTTGAATTCTCAAACAATTTCCCTGTTTGCAAATGGTATAGTAAACCCTAAACCTACAACCCATTTGGATATTAAATGAAACAAACCAGGGGGGACACAACAGACGGACAAAAGCATATGGTATCTTGTTTGATTGAGTTGGAAAGGTCATCCACAGTTTGTTTCCTTTTGCAACAGACAACTTGCTGATAATCTCTTAATGCTCATCCTCTTCTACAAGAATGGACTAGTTTGTTTTAACTCTAATGAGAATGCATTTTCCTCTTTCTCTACACTTGCAGCAAGCAATCCAGATGTACTCTTTGCTAATTGATGTGTTACAATATAATTCTTTTTGTACTTTCACGGCCTTGAAATCAACCATCTTCACCTTCCCCACATGTGATTCGACTTTCTCTGTTCTCCATGCTAGCACACAAGGCCTTCCATACAGGAAGCAACATCTTCATCGGAGGGTGTAGCTCCTTCACACAACCAAGCTTCATGCCTCAATTAAACCGGAAACTGCTATATTAGCTATATGACCACACACACACACCCCTACACAATTCTCATATTACTTGATATCATTACAATAAGTGATTTTCTATCCTGTTTAGATATAGCAGCAGCATATATTCCCCCCAACCCCAAACCCATATTTTCCAAAGGAAGTAACAAAGAATGAAATTCAGTTGTTTTACCTTGAACACCAACACCAGCTCTTCCTTCCCACGCACAAGTAAAGAGAGGCTCCAATAACAAGTTACTGGGGTTACACATTCTAATAATACAGGTTTCAAAATCTCTCCGGCTGGAATAAATCTGCGGATGATTCTTCCACTACAGCAAAGTAAACAAAAAAAAGAAGATGAAATGATAACATTGGTTATGGTGCTATTACAACTACTATTTTGCAAAAGTTCGTGAACAAAAATTTCTCAAGGATTTATTTATGAATATTGATAAAACATAAGAAAGAAGAATGAGCAAGTCTATTGAGGGAAAGCTAGAAATGCCTGAGAACCACTAGCAACTCCAGGACAGTGCAATGCGAAATGCTAAAATTGGATGGAAGAACAATTAAGCCCTAATACTGAATAACACCCTAGATCATCAATTATGAAACAGAGTGACAACAGACATTTCCCCTTCTTACATACAATCTTATTATATGATTAAAAGAGGAAGTTTGAAAATCAAGTCCGGAAAATCATATGATTGATGGTATACTGTAGAACATGTCGCTACATGGGTATTTAACATTCATTATCAGAGAAGTAGAAGTTTTAGTATGTTACCTTGCATAGTGAGTTTCAAGCTGAACTCCAAAGGCTGGCATTATGATGACAGACTCTAAAAGCTTAAAAATAAAAAACTTGAGAAAAAGGATTTAAAAACTTGCTGAATTGAAGAAAAATAACACATCGGATGGATTAAAAAACTTGCTGAATTGAAGAAAAATAACACATCGGATAACAAAGGCAACCAGTTGAAAAGACTCTCACCTTTGTGAACAGGGTTCCAAACCAATAATAATAATATGACAAAGTGTCCACTTAGCAGCATTCTCCACAAAATAAGAGTGGATGAAATTTCCTGTTATATAAATCCACTCAATGTATGAAATGCCAAAACCAGATAAAGGGAGTTAATTTCCAGAATATTGCTCTTCAGGTAGAAAACCTGTTTTAACACTGGGGGGGAAAAAGAGAGGAAGAAGTTAAAGTTCCCATAATTCATGATTGGCAATTCCTTACTTCCCCAATAACTCATAGTCATAGTACAAAAGAGAAGGGGCAGTGAATTGATTCCTAAACATAAGAACATGTAACTAAAATAGGACGAATATTAAGAATAAATTGACAGTCCAGAGTGCATACCTTGAAAGAGAGGAAAATGCAGGCAAATGGTAGAAGAAGCATAGCTACAAATACAGCCTTTCGAAGACTCTTTTTGACGACGTGAATATCAACTGACCCAGGAGGCCATTCACCTTCGTGTATGTAAGCCATTGAGATCCTCCCCATCCGTTTTTTTTTTTTGGGAAAGAAGATGTTCAAACCTTGAAAAACGAAAGACAAACTTAAACGGTTTCCAATTAAATCAATTCTTCAGACTGTAAAGAGGTCCTATAATACGTCGACTGTGAGCTCCCGGCTACGATGGCTGGAGGGATGATAGTGGCGGGAGGAGCCAAACCTTAGAGCTGTGGTAAAAGAAAAAATAAAAGAGGATCTCCTTTTTTTTATCTTTTAAAAAAACATTTTAGTGTATTAATTATCTATATATCTGCAAAACGAAGTAAAATCTCCGTCGTCAATATCATTAAATTTTCTATATACCATAAAAGATTAGATTTAATTTAAATTAAATCAGATTTTTTTCTCGAAAAATCACTCTTATCCTATAATATTTTTATCAGGCACTGTTTAAAATATATTTTTAATTTAAAATCATTTACAGAAAGACGCGTCGTTGCAGTACGCTTTACGCTGATATGAAACCACGTGGGTAAGGCGTCTCTGAAGCGCGCCTTATGCTGAGTTGAACATACGTAGCTAAAGCGCGGCCCCTGGGGAATGTCTTACGCCACGTAGGGCTATAGCGCGGGCAAGGGTCGCGCCTTTTTGAAATAATGACACGCGTCAGAAAGTCGCGCCCCCTGCGGCACACTTTACCTTTAATTACCCACCTACCCCAACTCGTTCACATCCCATCCCTCCCTATAAATACCCACATTTACAATCACTTTCATCACACCAAATCCTCTCAAATTCTCTGAAATACTCTCTTATATTCTTTATAAGGTATATTTTATTATATTTAGTATTTTGTTAGTAATTTATTTAAATTTAAATTTTTTAATATTTTATTTAATTAAATTTTTTTTTGCAGATATAAAATGGAAGACGACCTACTTCGCTTAGATGTAAATCATATATCTCGACACTTTGCTAATACGGTAACATTTTAACGTTTTAATTTAATTTAAATTATTAGTAATAATTTGTTGATTTATTTAATGCATGATTATTAGTTTAAGAATTAATTTTTGTAATTATTTATATTTTAGGATAGAGATCATATATTAGATCCTTTTATTAGGAACATTAAGTTAGCGATACCTAACCGTGTCTGGTCGTATTTAGCAGAGGTTGGATTCGGTTACATAGGTAGATATGAGGGTCATTGTAAGATAGAACCAGACCTGATTGCTGCCTTAGTGGAGCGGTAGAGGCCGGAGACCCACACATTCCATCTTCCGTGCGGAGAGTGCACAATTACGCTTGAGGATGTTTCTATGCACCTAGGGCTTTCGGTAGATGGAGATGTGATATCGGGGATCGCTCAGAGTTCCTGGACTACTTTGTGTCGGGATAATCTAGGACGTGTCCCGTAAAGTTTTAACAGTGGTCGGATACCGTTATATTGGTTAGGTGCCAATTTTCGAGAGTTGAGTGAGGACGCGTCATATGATGAAGTGCGGTCCACATTTAGGTCGAAGAACCTACTACTTCTATGGTCACGAATAGTCCAGTCTCAACACCATCCGCACCAGGCTCACGAAGCGGTTCTTCTGGTAGAGATGATGGTTCCTCCATGCTCTCAACATTTAGGTCGAAGAACCTACTACTTCCACGCCTTCCCCTTGAACTAGAAGCCATATCGACATTGAGATCGAAAAAGCTCGCAATCGAATGCCTCCCCCTGGAGCTTGAAGCCATCATGTCAAATGGAAACTGCACAGATTGTTGCGTCGATGACATCTCCATATTAAGGTCAAAGAAATTTGTAGATGAATGTCTTCCCCTTGAACTGGACGTGGTGTTGCCATACGGATTATTCATGGACCCTCCTCGATACATATCGTAAGGAGTTGCGAATGAATGTCTCCCCATTATGGTATTAAAATCATTACACATTACTGTAGTCGAACTGTCAACTTGTTCAGACAACCCATAGTGGGAGCTTAATGACTGACCCCGAACAACACGCACTTGAACAAACTTTGCATACATCTCAATATCGACGTCTGAATAATTACTTTGAGATTCAACCATCATTTCAACATCATTATTGTTCGAAAGTTCGAATGTTGTATAAGTTAATGGCAACAATGATGTTGGAAATTTGTACTGCAACGACGACATTCTTCTACTACTTCCAACATCAACCTTCCTCGAAAACTTCGTTATCAGCTCCTCAAGAGTTATGTTTCTCTTGAATGATATTTTAACACGCTCATTTGATACGAAAACAACGTCGGTTTCATCTTCTCGAATTTCTTCATCATAATAAACAATAGTTGAAAGTCGCGTCATTCTTAGAGTTTAAAAGTGCGACAATATTATATCTACAAAAAAACTGAAACAAACCTTATTAAATAAATAATATATGAACGAAAATATAATACAATAAAATTTTTACACATAAACGTAAATAATTTAAAAATATAATTTTATATTATTACATGCACCGTAAAAATATTTCGACGTATGCTCCAGCTTTCCAATTTTACAAATACAGAAATTAATTAAAAACAATTAGTATAATAATTTTTTCAAATAATCATAATAAACAATAAGTATAATAAAAAAAATTATAACAAAATTACCTTATAACGAAAAATCGCACGAACTTTTGAATCAAATATGAGAAGATTGTCGGATTATTGTATTGATTTTTTTCTGTTGAGAGGAGATGTGAGGAGTTACCGGGGGAAGGGTATTTATAGCCGAGAAAATGAACAATAATTATACAAGGCGCGGTACCTGCACCGCGCCTTGTATTATGCATGTATAATAATTGAGTATGTGATAATTGAAAAGCGCGGCCCCTGCCCCGCGCTATAGCCCTACGTGGCGTAAGGTGCGCTTCAGGGCCGCGCTTTAGCCACGTGTGTCCAACTCAGCATAAGGCGCGCTTCAGGGGGCGCGCCTTACCTCACGTGGCGTCATATCAGCATAAAGCACGCTTCAGGGGGCGTGCCTTTCTACAAAAGGTGTTAAATCGAGAAATATAATCTGAACAGTACCTGATCGGGAATATTATAGTGTAAGGATGATTTTTCGGGAAAAAAGCCTTAAATCCATCGACAAAAAAGTATAAATTTAATAGATTTATCAATTTTATTTAATTTAATTAAAATAAAATTTATAGTACTAAAAATGAATAAAATGAAATTTTGACCTTAGATTGTATAATTTTGTTTTACAATTAGACTATGAGAGATTTTTTTTAAAAATTTTAGGATATGTTTGGTTCTAAAAATATAGATTATTTTTATTTTTCATATTTTTAGAAAGTATAAAATGCCGAAGAAAATTTGTTTCACTATAAAATTAGAAAATGTTTTTAGAAAAAAATAAAAAAAAATGAAAATTAAAAAAAATTAAAAATATATATAATATTTTTATTAAAATTATTTTAAATTTTTGAAAAATTAGAAAACACGATAATTAGATTTTTTAACTTCACCTAAAGGAGTTTAAATCTTTGTAACAAAAACTTTTTGATTTAATAGTATCTAAAACCCTCAATTTTTTTAAAAAAATCAATATGATCTATGAACTTTTCTTACATTTAATATAGTCCTTAAATCATTTTTTAATAATTTAATTTTGTAATATTTAATGTATTAAATATATTAATAATTGCTTATATTTTCTTATTTTATTTTGTTAATTCATTTGAATGAGAGGAAAATACTAAACTATTATCTTAGACTATGTTACTTTCTTCACTATCATATCCGACGGTTGATAAAATCTGTATAAACCTATTGGAAGTGACCAAACTCATTAAAGGAGTTGTTCAATATTAACAAGTAATCAGAAAGATACCAAAACCACCGCTCCATCTCATGTTCAGTGTATGTAATAGCTTTGCTATGTCAAATCTCACTCACCCTGCCATGCATGCTGCTCATAAAAATGGTAACTCCCTCCCAAGTGATTCAGCTGAGAGCTTATTTCTCGGTTCTGAAAGCACACATCTTGTTCAGCCTGAGAGACCAGAAGATTCTCCGGCTTTGTCTTCGGCGACTCAACTTTGGTTTCCACCTCCGATTCGGCTGCATTGTTGTTGGAGGATACAGCCACCACTTGCTTCCTTTTAGACCTAGCTCGTCTGTTTTGAAACCAGTTATACACATTGGTTTCAGAAATTTGGCCGTTTTGGCTTAGTTCTGAAGATATCTCCTTGATCTTTTGCTTGCTTGGAGTTCCGGTCCCCTCATGGAATATGCGTTCCAGAATCTGAAGCTGCAGGGCTGTTGGTGTCCACCGCTGTCTGGCACTGATTTTGTGCCCGCCGGCTGTCATTAAAGGGTCACAATACAGATTTCCCAGCCTCCCACCTGCCCAAAAGAAGAGTTCTTCAGTACCCTACATTGAGTTGAGTGTTACATAATGACTATGTCCATCCACATTGGAAAAGGTTCAGACTAGTGAAATAAATTATAGTCATGGGGTATTTGCATTAATGGCTTCCACCTATACTTTTGTACAAATCATTCTTCTGATTTTGTTACTTTTTTTTTCTCAGAAGGCTGGCACCTAAAGTTAGGTGAATTTCTTACGAACAAAGGAAAGGTGGGATTTATTAGATGTTAGGGTAAAACACATGTTTAATACTTCAATTATTACGTTTTGATTTTATTTTCATAATCTACCGTTAAAAGATTAACAGTAATGATAATGTATCATCATAAGATAATTTTACGTCTTCATTGAAAAAAATAAAAAAATATATATATTACATTAACAATTTTGTTAAATTTTCAGTGGTGGGTGATCAAAATAAAACGAAAACATAGGGATGGCAATGAGCTGGGTTCGGGCCGGGTATTGGTCCCCTGTCCCCGTCCCCGTTTAAAAAATTCGTACCCATTCCCGCTTAAAAACCTGCGGGGATTTAAAAGGGGATCTCCATCGGGTAATCGGGAAAAATCGCGGGAAAACGGATATCTATGTTTAGCATAAACAGTTATTTAATGGTGGGTCGGATATATATATTTAAATTAAATATATAAATATTATATATATATATATATATTAATTTAAATTAAATTTATTAATATTATATATATATAATTATTTTTAATATTTATCGGGCCGAGTATCAGGCCTTGTAATCGGGTAATCGGGGCGGGATTACCAAATCCGTCCCCGTTTAACATAAACGGTTTTCCGTCCCCGTTTATCATCCTCGA